CACTTGAAAATAGATAGATTAGATGAAGTTTAATTACAAGAGACGTGATCAAAAAATGTGCAAATGATTACTCTACAAAGTGGATAGTTAATGATCAAAAGTGCACTCATAGGTGTTAAATAAGATTATCAATTTTTTCTAACTTTTGTGCCTTTTGTTATGTACCGTATTGCACTTTTGTGTTCTACATATATGTGCACTTTTTAGCTATTTTTATACACATTAGTCACAATATTTTTATTAAAATTTCTTCATAATTCCTAAAATGTCACTGCGTTTCCATTTTAAAATATTATCTCTTCCATCCATTTTTTCATATCAGTGGTCAAGATTAGTTCTTATTTTTCAGCTAGGAAGTACTTTTTATTTTGAACCAAACTCTACATAGTATGTATGTATAGATAGAGAAAGAGTTTTATGACAATGTAAAAAAGCGTTCTTAGAAGAAAAGTAACAATGAATTACAACCAGTTTCATTTTGTTTGTTTTCTTCTCTTATTAAAGGGTAAATAAGAGCTTTATTAATTATATCGATGTACATGAATTAATTATTTCTATAGTTGGTGTCTTTAAAAATTACTACCCTCGTCTCATTTTGTGTGTCATACTTTGATTTGACTCTATTATTAATAAAGTGTTAGAACTTGAGGATATAAATTGTAGATTATATAAGGGTGTAGAAATATGACTGGACCGGATATCACTTCTAGTCACGTATTAAATACGCTTTCCTAAAAGTTTACTATCTACCCTTATTACAGTAACTGGGTTACAAGATAGAACTTTTGGGATAAAAAGAAGGTGTATGGTGTATTTTAGTTACCAATAAAATAACACCGAACAAGTGATTTATATAAAAAGTGGTCTAAACACTTTATTACTAATACTGCAGATAAAAGTAATAGAGTAAGCAAATAGACAAGATTGACAAACCGGTGTTTCCGTTCATCCCTCAATTCGACCAGATCCTTCCTATTTATAAAGAAAATAACTCTTTCAAATGGGTGGTTAATAAACCAACCGAATAAACCTTTTTCATTGAACAGTTGTGATGCTTTCAATAAAATGAAAAGGTGCGGCCAAATAAAAGGACATGACTAATAAACAAAGGTATCCACAAGTCATTCATTTATTAAAAGAATTAATGTAAAAATATTGCAAACGAATGTGTCCTGCCGCAAAGTGCCATTTTATTAAAATAACACATTTAATATTTTCAAATAAGATAAGAAAACAAAATGTAATTGAATAATACTATTATAATTATGAGACCATCATCACACGTGTACAAAGTAGTGCTCATAATGTATAATAATAACAATTACATATAAAGATTCTATAATACCGTATTAACTTATAAATGGTTTAGGACTAGTAAATTAATACTTGAGTTTTATTTTCCAATAAATTTCCAACAATCCTCCTCCATTTATTGAAAAATAAATTACACTCAATTCTTGCCAAATAGACCACTTATCAAGATTTATGCATAATGAAAGTGTCGTAAAGATTGAACTTTCATTTAGTGCAATATTCTTTACAATATTTCGGATCATAATAGTAGACTAAGCTTTGAACTATATAACCTCTTTGAAATATTGAAGATATTACACACATAAACCTTTATACAATTTCACTTAGAAACTTGACACTATTAACGGCCTTGTGTCCATATCCATTCATGAGCTCCAACAAGTAAAGCCTTAAACTTGGTGAATCAGCCGCCATTCTAGCTCACATAGGTAGACCTTTTCAAACTGTGTTCTGCAATCAAACACTTTATCAAAAGATCTATTAAGACATAGTCAACCTCATTACACATTGCAGACTCAAGCACTTACCTCGGGATGGTTATTATTCAAACGTGCTCCAACCACAGAGTGACTTACTCATCGTCATTGAACTCAAGATCTAGCGTTGTACTAGACGTTGAGTTGGGCTTTCTTTCACTTGTGATTATTTTCTAAGGGCTTTAACCCCATCCCTTTTGCAGTTTTGTACACCATGTCTCTTGGCATTGCTTTTATAAAAGGATCCGCCAAATTCACATGCGACCGTACAAAATCAATCACAACAACTCCAGAACTAATAAGTTCCCGCACATAGCTGTGCCTCACTCCTATGTGTCTTGACTTACCATTGTACACATGGTTATAAGCTTTCGACAGAGTTGATGCGCTATCACAATGGATTGATATCGGAGCCATCGGTTTAGGCCATATTGGGACTTCTGACACTAAATCCTTTAGCCATTCCGCTTCTTTACAAGCTGATGCTAAAGCTATAAACTCCGAAGCCATGGTAGAGTCTGTGATACAAGTTTGTTTCTTAGATGCCCATGATATAGCACCTCCTCCAAGAAGAAATAACCATCCACTTGTGGATGAATAATCCTCTTGATTAGTTATCCAACTCGCATCCGTATAACCTTCTAATATAGAGGGTTCACTCTTGTAACATAAGCCGAAGCTCATTGTTTTCTTTAGATATTTCAGCACTCGCCTCAAGGCTTGCCAATGAAATATACTAGGATTACTAGTATATCTACTTAGCTTTCCTACCGCAAATGCAATATCTGGCCGGGTGCTAGTCATTGCATACATCAAACACCCAATCACCCTAGCATATTCAAGCTGTGATACAGCGTTCCCACTATTTGGAACTAATTTCCAACTAGGATCCATGGGAGTGGAAACCGGTGAACAATCCAAACTCCCAAATCTTTTCAACACTTTCTCTATATAGTGAGATTGTGTTAAGGTGATAGTATCACCTTGCTTGATTATCCTAATTCCAAGGATAACTTCCGCTTCACCCATATCTTTCATGGAGAAGTTTGAACAGAGGAAAGCCTTTGTCTCATTTACTTGCCTCAAATCAGTGCCAAATATGAGCATGTCATCCACATATAGACAGATAATGACACCATTACCATGCTCATTAAATTTGCTATATACGCACTTGTCTGATTGGTTTATTTTAAAACCATTTTTTAGCACCACCTCATCAAATATTTGATGCCATTGTTTAGGTGTTTGTTTCAGACCATACAAGGACTTGACAAGTTTACAAACTTTCTTTTCTTGTCCTTTAACAACAAACCCTACGGGTTGTTTCATATACACCTCCTCCTCCAATTCACCATTTAAGAATGCAGTTTTGACATCCATTTGGTGAATCACAAGATTGTGAATGGCTGACAAAGCAATTAACAATCTTATGGTAGTTATTCTGGCTACCGGTGCATATGTATCAAAGTAATCAATACCATGTTTTTGTTTAAAGCCTTGTGCAACCAATCTAGCTTTAAACTTGTCAATGGTACCATCTACTTTCATTTTCTTCTTGAAAATCCATTTACAACCGATTGGTGTGCAACCGGGTGGTAAATCACTTAGAACCCAAGTATTATTACCCATGATTGAATCCATTTCATCATTCACGGCCTCTTTCCAGAAGGAAGCATCTTGTGATTTCATTGCCTCCTCAAAAGAGTTAGGATCCTCCTCAACACTATAACAATATAGTGTTTGAGTTTCAAGGGTCTCTCTTGATCCCTCAACCAAATACAATTGAAAATCAGGACCAAATGACTTTTCTTTTCTAGCCCTCTTACTCCGTCTAATTTCAGGCTCATTTTCATGACCCTTTTCCAGTTCATGAAAATTTGAATTACTTGGACTGAGATCAACATTTTTTGGCTTAGGAATAGAAGTGAACCGCTTCTCATCGAAAAGAGCATCCCTAGACTCAATAACGGTATGAACCGCAATTGAGTCATTCGGTTCAATAACATAGAATCGATATGATTTGCTATGTTCAGCATATCCAATAAATATGCACTCTATCCCCTTTTCACCTAACGTTTTTCGTTTAGGTTCCGGTAATCTCACGATTGCCCTACAACCCCATACCCTAAGATAACTTAGTTGGGGTGTTCTTTTGTGCCAAAGTTCATATGGGGTTATTTTATTTCGGGAAAACTATCAAATAAGCCCCCGTACTATACCGAAAAAGTCGATTAGGCCCTCGTACTTTACAAACACTCAATTAAGTCCTTGAACTATTAAAAAACGTTCAATTAAGCCCTTTTGGTGGGTAAGTAACCGATTTCCCGTTTAAACGACGGCGATGGCGACGATGTGCTCGAACCCCAGCAACGGCGGCTTCTGGGAAACAGGTTACATTTAACCGCGAAACCGGTTACTTACCGACCGAAAGGGCTTAATTGAACGTTTTTTAATAATTCGAGGACTTAATTGAGTGTTTGTAAAGTACGCGGGCCTAATCGTCTTTTTCGATATAGTACGAGGGCTTATTTGATAGTTTTCCCTTTTATTTCTCTTGTTAGGAACTCGATTAAGAATATAACAAGCAGTTAACATAGCATCACCCCAAAAGCCATTACTTAAGCCCGAATTAGACAACATGGAATTAATCATTTCTTTTAAAGTTCTATTCTTTCTTTCAGCTATGCCGTTTTGTTGCGGCATGTAAGGGGCTGTTGTTTCATGGATTATTCCAACAGATTCAAAAAGTTTAGGCTCATAATATTCTCCTCCTTTGTCAGTTCTAAGCCTTTTTACTTTCTTTCCGGTTTGTAACTCAACTTCCATTTTAAAAACTTTGAATCTATCCATTGCCTCATCTTTTGAAAATAAAAGATATATATAACAATATCTTGTGCAATCATCAATAAATGTGACTACATATTTTTTATTTCCAAAAGAAGGAGTGCTATGGAGATCACACAAATCACTATGAACTAATTCAAGCATGTTGGATTTTCTTTCAACATTTTGAAAAGAGTTTCTAGTGATTTTGTTTAACATGCAAGTTCTACATTTTTCTATGTTCAAATTAAAAGGAGGAATTAAACCTACTTTAGACATGTCACTAAGTCTACGATAATTAACATGACATAACCTATTGTGCCACAAAAAAGAATCACAAACCATATAAACAGAATTAAGAACTTTATTTACAACACTTAGTTTGAACATGCCATTACAATAGAAACCTTGGCCAACAAATACACCACCCTTAGATAAAATAAACTTATTTGCTTCAAAGCTAAGTTTAAACCCAAAGTTATTTAGGATCCCACCGGAGACAAGATTTTTCCGGATTTGTGGTACAAAGTACACATCATTAAGAATTAATTTCTTTCCGGAAGATAATTCCAACTCTACTTGCCCAATTCCTTGAATTTGCACAGTAGAGTCATTTCCCATGTATAAGATTGGCCCCTCTTGCAACTCTTTTAAAGTCTTAAAAGATTGCCTATCTTTACATACATGCCTTGTTGCTCCGGTGTCGATCCACCAAGATTCATCATCCTGCACAACACAAATTTCAGAAAGCATAGCTACAAAAATCATGTTGTTATCAACATCGTTTGTAACTATAAAAAGATTCTGACCTTGGTTATCTTGGCCACCATTTGGATGGCCGTTCGATTGGGCCTTCTTCTTCTTCACCTTCGGGCAGTCCCTCTTGAACTGTGGACCACCACATTCCCAACAAGAGCCTACTTTCTTATCTTTCGACTTCTTTTGAAACTTGGAACCTTTGGTGAATTTCCCGGGACGTTTTTTATTTTTCTTAGTCCCACTTGACTGTCCCTCCTCCATAACATTTATAGAGGAAATTGGAAGGTCGTTCTTTTTACCATTGTCACCTTCATGCAACTTAATGCCTTCTTCAATTTGAAGTCGGCGACCAAGTTGCTCCATTGACAAATCCTCCTTTTTGCGTTTGAGGCTATTTTTCACTTCCTTCCATGAAGGTGGTAATTTGTCGATTATAGAACCAACCGCAAAGGTTTCATTTACATGCATGTTATGAATCAAAAGTTGATCATACAAACGTTGAATCTCATGAAATTGTTCCATGACCGGACGAGAATCCACCATTTTGTAACTATTAAAGTTACTAATGAGAAATTTCTTACTTGAAGCATCTTTGGTCATATATTTGGATTCTAGAGATTCCCACAACGTTTTAGCATATTCAACATTTTGATACACATCAAATAGAGAATCGCACATACCGTTCAAAATGTGCCCACGACAAATGTAGTCGTCATTATCCCACTTTATGCGGCGGCGGCTTGTCTCCAAAGACTCATTTTCTTCTTCTTCGGGCGGCCTCGGGGTGCTTAACACATAGACCACTTTCAAAGTGGTGAGCAAAAAATGCATCTTTTTCTGCCACCTTCGAAATTCCACACCTTCAAATTTTTCCAATTTTTGAAAATTGGTGTTGATATCACGTTGCGTAGCGGCCATATTTACGGAATAGTAAACTTTTAGATTGTTAGAACTTGAGGATATAAATTGTAGATTATATAAGGGTGTAGAAATATGACTGGACCGGATATCACTTCTAGTCACGTATTAAATACGCTTTCCTAAAAGTTTACTATCTACCCTTATTACAGTAACCGGGTTACAAGATAGAACTTTTGGGATAAAAAGAAGGTGTATGGTGTATTTTAGTTACCAATAAAATAACACCGAACAAGTGATTTATATAAAAAGTGGTCTAAACACTTTATTACTAATACTGCAGATAAAAGTAATAGAGTAAGCAAATAGACAAGATTGACAAACTGGTGTTTCCGTTCATCCCTCAATTCGACCAGATCCTTCCTATTTATAAAGAAAATAACTCTTTCAAATGGGTGGTTAATAAACCAACCGAATAAACCTTTTTCATTGAACAGTTGTGATGCTTTCAATAAAATGAAAAGGTGCGGCCAAATAAAAGGACATGACTAATAAACAAAGGTATCCACAAGTCATTCATTTATTAAAAGAATTAATGTAAAAATATTGCAAACGAATGTGTCCTGCCGCAAAGTGCCATTTTATTAAAATAACACATTTAATATTTTCAAATAAGATAAGAAAACAAAATGTAATTGAATAATACTATTATAATTATGAGACCATCATCACACGTGTACAAAGTAGTGCTCATAATGTATAATAATAACAATTACATATAAAGATTCTATAATACCGTATTAACTTATAAATGGTTTAGGACTAGTAAATTAATACTTGAGTTTTATTTTCCAATAAATTTCCAACATAAAGTTGTTGAAAAAATAAGAGTTGTGATTGAGTTTCAGTTAAGTATAATAAAAATGAAATGTTGCAGACCACATATATCTTTCCAAAAAAATGTGACACTAATTTTGGGACAATGCAAATATTACTACATCCATCCCATCTTATGTGTCCTACTTTGGTTTCATACAATTATTAATAAAGTGGCTGAAAAAGTAAGAGTTGTGTTTGAATTTTGAGTATAAAATGAAATGTTGTAGACCATGTAAATCTTTCCAAACAAAAGGAAATGTGACACTTATTTTTGGACAATTCGAAAAGAACGGTACTACATAGTAAAATGATATGGAGGGAGTATTTTTTGACACATTAATTATGAATGCTTGTTCTTTCTCAAGGTAGATAGACTCCTACCATTTCCTTTTCAAACGAAAATATCGCATGCAACAAGCACATGAATTGGGGTGCACTTAATACGAAAAATAATAAATCCAATACAGACGAAATGCAATTGTTTCACTATAGCGAATGTGTCTAACTTGATTGTTATAATGAAGTAAAGTGTTTTGACAAGTGCAATAAACTCAATACGAAGCACTTTTTGAAAGAATTAACGTCATTAAGCACCTTTAAGTATACAAATTGCTATTTGAGTATGCACGAGTTCATCATCATATTCCATATGATGTGATGCACAAATGTAGCCTATTAATGAAATGATAAATACGTGTAAAACAGGACAAATGATATGCATAAATCCTAAGGAATTTGCTTGCCTTTAAGTGCATTACATTTATACATCCTTGTGCATCGTTTTTTAACTATATATGCGAGGAACAAACATGATCATTTGTATATTACTTATACTAGCTATAGTGCATCAATTTACCTGATCAATATATTTCATCTATTTGTAATTTCATGTGCAACATGCAATTGACAATATTATTAATGTTGGAAATTTTAAATGTATTTCAAATAAACAAATTATTATTTTTATTAAATGTGTTTACTCTAATATAACCGAAACACTATTTATTGTTTTGTTTAACAGCATGAGCTAAAGTAAGGTATGATTTTGCATGTTACTTGCTTGTCCTCTTAATTCTCCATTTTAATAGGATCAATAACTATGTCCACTTCTATTCACTTTTTAATACATAGCATATGGATTGGATGAGGAAATGGTCCAACCCAGCTAGTCGCCAACTCACTCTCCCTTACGGGAGGTCTCGGGTTCGAAACTCAATGGAGTGAGTTTCAGCCTAGTTTACTCCAGCTCCCCAGCCCCCCTCCCCCAGACGCCCCCTAGAGTAAAAAAAAACATATCATATGGATTGGATTTTACGTTGATATATATATTAAGAAGGCTTTTGTATACGAATACCTTAAGCTTTAAAACACTGCTCGATTACATACTATACATATATATCCTCGGCTCTTGCACCTTCAATCATCTTAGTGATTTGGATAGTCCCCTTTGGACATTCGCTCAGGTATAAAAGCTTGAATCTGATTCTTAGGTAGCTGGAGTGCCACTGACTTCTGTGTTGCATGGGTAGATTTGTACTCGTTGGGAATAGATCTACCATAGAATTATTGGATCTGTTGTTGCATGTGTAGATTTCATCTCTTATTGAGCGGATCTGCAGAACCTTAGCTCGGGTTCATATTAGCATGAGTGGATATACTCTGTGTCGACTTGGATCCGTTGTTTATCTCTGTGATTGGATTACATGTATTTTCATCTATGTGAATCATACTTGTGTTTGGTTCTCCTGAAACCCGTGTACTCTTCATATAATCCGTTATTCGCTCTTGCTTCTAGTCTTCGTGTTCGCCTCTGTTTTTGGTTTGTTTTACCTGTGTCAGTCTCTGACTTATGGTAATATTGTGGCTTGTTAGCCCCTTAGTTAGCTAAAGCACCTCAGGTTAGGGATAAGGGATTCCCTTCCAGCCACTTCAGTTGCCCAGGATATAAGTGGTTCCTTAGTTCGCGGTCTAACCTTAGCTTCTAGGGTTAGCCCCTTATTACTTGTAGTTTAGCTATTTGTGTGTGCGCGCACATGCTACCATGACTTCTAACCAGTATGGTATGCTGCCCTTCAATGGTAAAACTGACCTCGATATCGGGAAATGACATTCATGTAATTTTCATGTTTATGTTTGTATTTTTAATTAGTTTTGATTGATTGTTACTTTGGAAATTACACACTTTTGGTGTAATAGTTTAGTTTGTAAAATAGTTGTAATCTGTTTAAATTAGGCATTTTCTGAGCTTAAACTAGGTAAATATCATCAAAAGGATCCTGGAAAGGTCAAGGAAAGTGCAAGGGACAAGAGAAAGTAAAAATTTGGGAAAACAGTTAAAAACCCGGTCGGGTTTTGCAAAAACCCGATCGGGTTTGACTTGATCCGAAGATCAAATCTGATTTGGAGGCAATTAAACGTGCAAGGCGAAGATTTGGCAAAGATTTGTCTTTTACCCGATCGGGTAAATAAAAAACCCGATCGGGTAGATGTGACTAACGAAGATTCCGGGCAGTTACTCAATAAACCCGATCGGGTAAATAAAAAACCTGATCGGGTAGATGTGACTAACGAAGATTCCGGATAGTTACTCAAGAAACCCGATCGGGTTTCTGAAAAACCCGGTCGGGTAAATGACCATGTCACCTCCAAACACCTATAAATACACTCATTTTCCTTCCCATTTGATCACCAATTCACATATACTCTTAATCTCAGTTTAGAATAACATTTCTTTATACTTTTCTAGCTATGTTTAGTCTCCAAATGATGAAGTAAAATTCCATTTCTTGGTTCTGCTCTTGAAGTTTGTTGATTATTAAAGTTGTGAGTTATTTTCTTGACGTCTCTCCTTGAATATTAATGTTTCCCTTAATCTCATTCTATATTAATGTTGGGGTGTTGCTAAATGACGATTAGTTAACACTTCGACATTAATTATTACTAGAAACGATCAAGGAACCGATGGTTAATCGTTGATGGTTTCATAAGTAAGTAACTTCGGTTTATTAATTCACGGTTTTGGTTAATAGACTTAAGAGGGATTAATTTTGTTGGTTAAACCGAAACCATTGTGTTGAGTTTATCAATCTCAATTGATTTCATCAAGGAGTTAAAAAGATTAAATGCTACTATTAAATCGGTATACGGCGTTGTTCTATATTTGATTAATAGTAAGGGTTGTTAATGAACGGTCATTGTTAATAATTACCCTCGATGAATTGGATATACTCCTCGATTGAGTATTTGAGAAGGGATACTTATAGATGTAACAAGGATTGACTAAATATATAAACAAGTGGAAAGTAGCAAAGCCAAGTTCTTTTTATCTTTGAATTAAATCACATATAAGTTGTTCATCTTAGTTTTTAATTAAATTAAATCATTTAAACCCAAGACCCCCCTTTAATTACTAGTTCATAAAAAGAGAATTATTCATTTCCCTGTGGATACGAACTCTACTTCACTATACTACGTATAAGTGTTAGTATCGAAATTATTTTGACGCACTACGACAAAGTGCCCGTCAGGAAACAAAAAGATTAAATTTGTGTTAGTCCAGCAGAAAGTTTATAGAGCTGTTACTGATCAGTACTTAGATTCTGGGGATAAACCTAAACAAATAGAAATGAATGAGACACTCTGTTTTACCCTTTACCTGAATGTGTATGACTTTGTCCTTAGGAAAGTGGGTATTTTAGTCTGCCAAGGAACTTTGGGATAAGTTAGAATCAAACTGACACTTCTTTACCTGGAAAATTATTTTTACTTGAAAAATTCTCTCGGTTTAGGCTTGACCTAACCAAGGATATTGATGAAAACCTAGATGTTTTTCATAAACCGATTCAGAAC